GCCATCTTTTAGAGAGAAATATGACCCATTATCTAGATCCGGCTGCTACAAGCTTGTTTGCTCATGTGGTTGATGCTATGTTGGTGAGACATGCCGAACTATTCGACAAAGTTTGGTAGAACACAAAAATGCTTGCAAAGTTAGCTGGATCCAACGGTCAGATGTGGCCGAACACATGGTAGAAACGGGACATGAAATAGAATGGTCTTAAAGTAGTAGGTTTGCTGATTATGGTGCGTCTGTGTTTAAAAGAAAAATAAGGGAAGCTATTGAAATTAATTGCTCAAAAGGGTACACTGTACCACATTTAATTAAGCAAGTAAAAAAATGGTGTCAGTGAAGGTGTGACAGGAGGATATGGGAAATGTGAATAGGCAGGGCAGAAGGGGAGATACCATAGCTGTTTAGCACACGTTTGATCAAAGGAACGGCTTCACTTGTCTCTTTGATGAGTTGTAATATGGTGCTACGAATGGCAAAACTCTCTGACGATGCCGGCGAAACGTCTGAGAATGTACCTCGTCCACGGCCCGACTTTGGAAATGATTATGCATACAATGGACTCCGGACAAGGTACGTTCCTCTAAGTCTTCCTACCAATGTGACCAAGTTGCGAAAACCAGGTCAAATAACTTCTATAGCAAATAAGATCGTAAATATGAAGAACAAGACAGTATGGCCTTCTGTTTGGTCGCGGTATCCTTTAGCTTAATAGTGTTGGTTCGACCATGTTATCGCTACTTGGTCGGAGAAACGGAGAGACCTTGTGAAACGTGTATAGTCCTGCGTCCGCTGCCAGAGTATTCATTATGATTTCTAATATTGGCCGAGACGTTATGTCTGCATCGCAGTCAGCATCGTTAGTGAGAGGTGCCATCGTTGGCAAAGAGTTGAAACTTATTATATGATCCATCGACCTATTAACACAATTTTGTGCTATCGTCTCCTCCCATGTGGCCTAAGAAAGTGTCGCTACAATTGAATTAAGCAAGGCGTAATCATCTCCACCATCAGTACCAGGTGAGGTTTGCAGGGCTCCTGTCCTAAAAAAATATTAATAAAAAATTGGTTTTTGAAGAAGAATTTGGTGATATATTGTGACATAACTCTCCACTTCGAATGGAAAGTTGGTAGAAAGGAAGTCGTTATGCGGTCTCACCGTAAACCGAAGGAGGATTACGGCTAGGGAAGAGTGCTGAATTGTGCAAAGAAGTCTTTGAAGATATGAAGCCCAAGATGTTGGGGCCTCTGGTATGGCCGAAGTCTCTTTTCTTGTTTCCCCCGAGTTTGCTTAAGCAGTAGGCAAAGTTATCACTAACTCTTCCTTCCTCCAATCTCCTGTTCATTACATTTTTCTCCCCAAGAATGTCAATGTCACAGGAATTGAGCAAGACCAGCAAAAAGGAGAAGCCTGGATCAAGGATAAATCAAAACCGGAGGTAAAGAGATCGTGATTTGGAAAGGGGGGGTGGGGGTCCTCGGCAATCAAGCGAAGACGTGGTCAGTGAGTGGTGTTCGTTTCAAAAAAACCAGTACAACTTTTGAGTCTGGAAGTCAAGAAGCTGGGCAAACGGATAAACAAACCGTCACAGAAATTTTGCGTTATGGTCAAAATGTACTAGAAATCAACTTGAGATGCCGCATACGACCAGAGACAGGTGCCCACAGTTTGCTCAGATAACATGGTTTTATGAAGATAAACTGGGTTTCGATGAATCTCTTGAAAGAATATTGTTTGGGAGACTTTCAGTTCGCATAAAAGTGAATGCAGAAGAGATTCGTTGGTCGATCTCACCAGATGAGGACGGATGAATCTCACTGCAGCCGTTTGGCTTT